TTTTATATTTTGTATTTTTTATTATAAGGTATGACTCCCCTCAAAATTGTTTCAATTGAAAGAATTCTTTTTTTTTATTCTTATGTTAATCCCCATACATTACATCATTAGTTTTAGATGAAGTGTTCCATGATTCATTGTTTGTGCATAACACCCAGTGCTCCATGCAGAATGTGCCCTCCTCAATACCCACCACCAGGCTAACCCATCCTCCCACCCCCCTCCCCTCTAGAACCCTCAGTTTGTTTTTCAGAGTCCACTGTCTCTCATGGTTCATCTACCCTTCCGATTTCCCCTGCTTCATTCTTCCCCTCCTGCTACCTTCTTCTTCTTCTTCTTTTTTTTCTTAACATATATTGCATTATTTGTTTCAGAGGTACAGATCTGAGATTCAACAGTCTTGCACAATTCACAGCACTCACCATAGCACATACCCTCTCCAGTGTCTATCACCCAGTCACCCCATCCCTCCCACCCCACCCCCCACTCCAGCAACCCTCAGTTTGTTTCCTGCGATTAAGAATTCCTCATATCAGTGAGGTCATTTGATACATGTCTTTCTCTGTTTGACTTATTTCGCTCAACATAATACCCTCCAGTTCCATCCATGTCGTTGCAAATGGCAAGATCTCATTCCTTCTGATGGCTGCATAATATTCCATTGTATATATATACCACTTCTTCTTTATCCATTCATCTGTCGATGGACATCTTGGCTCTTTCCACAGTTTGGCTATTGTGGACATTGCTGCTATAAACATCGGGGTGTACGTACCCTTTCGGATCCCTACATTTGTATCTTTGGGGTAAATTAGTAGTGCAATTGCTGGATCATATGGTAGCTCTATTTTCAACTTTTTGAGGAACCTCCATACTGTTTTCCAGAGTGGCTGCACCAGCATGCATTCCCACCAACAGTGTAGGAGGGTTCCCCTTTCTCCACATCCCCGCCAACATCTATCGTTTCCTGACTTGTTAATTTTGAAAATAAAAGATAAATTAATGGAAACTGAATATTGTGGAGTGTTTTATTTTCCTTTGTTTTTATTTTGTTTTGTGTTTGTTTTTTTAGCTCTCTTGCATTACAGTTCCCCAATATTGTGTTCAGGATGCCTATGGAATAAAACACCACAGTTGTTGACCATGCCCACAACATTTCCCTAACCTTCTATCATCTCCTCACTCTACCCTCTATGTTACTATCCTCATCCCTAGATCCCTTCAGGAAGTCCTTATTTCCTCAGATCTCATTATAGCAATTATATTTGGCGAGCCTCTCTTGACCATATAGGGCAAGATCTCAACATCCATTTGATCTACATCGGTGCTTCTCAAACTTGAATGTCACATAAGTCCCTTAGGTATCTTGCAAAAATGCAGATGATGACTCAGTATATCTGATATTCTACATTTCTCACAAGCTTCCATGTGATGCCAATACTATTGGTTTTTTAGTAGCAGAAATCTATTAATTTTCCTCCTTTAGATAAAGTAAGTATAGCACAGTACTGTAATTTCCCACATATTTAATTTTATCCTCCACTAAACTCTGTAACATCGGGGGCAATATCCATTGTGTTCGCTGTTATTACACCTTCAAATCTTACTCAGTAACAGACATATAGTATGCATACAATATTTTTGTAATGATAAATGAATGCATGAAGAATGTTGATGGAAGCATGTATAAGACATGGTGAGAGCAGAGAGGAATGGGATAAACAGGAATAATAGGAATAGCCAGAGGAGATGATAGAGAGAGGAAAGTAAGAGCTACATTTCTTTATCCACTAAAATTGAATGGTTAATGTTGGCCAAATTAATAGGGTAGAACTACTGGTAATTCAACATGACTGAATCCAGGAGAAGAGAATGAGACTGTCACCAGACCCTGGAGGGCTTGCAGGAGTTGTAGGACCTTAGTATTTTTTGTAAATAGCAAATAGGTTGTTTCTAAACACAGTTACTGAGGCAGGAACCAGTTTTTGTTGTTATTGTTATTCTTTGCTTGCTTTTAGGTTTGCTTCTACAATTGGATATATTAACCCTCGATTATCTGATTTGCCTCTTGCTCCTGTCTCAGACTGTTTCTTTCAGAACCTACACTATTTACTCCCTTAGAAAACTCTCAGTCCTGAATTCTGTTTTCCCATTTCCTGATTCAAAATGACTATCCACATCAGCTGCTCCATGTGTGAATTTTAAAGGTCATAGCCTATGACCAGATAAAATACTTACTTCTGTGTCATTTAGAATTTTTGTTACCTACATGTTTTACTACTGTAGATAATACTGCAATAAATGTTCCTCTATATAAAATGTGGCCTGTATCTCTATTTTTTCCTCTGGATAAATTTCTAGAAATAGAACATAATGGACCTTTTAAGCCAACAATATACTGGAAAATGCACTTTCAGAAAGTTCATACAAATACTGTAAAACAGGGCTTAGTCCATGATAACACAGCAACATAACACTGTGTATTGTAAGTTTCTTAAAATTTTGTGATTTTATTGAGGGGTATTTTGCTCAGACTTTCAGAAAGTTGAATTGAATTACCAGCTACTGTTCTGCTGGGCTGGCATGAGAGTAGGGCAGTGAGAAGGACTGTAATTTGAAAGTACGAGTACAATGTGTGTCAGTGCTCTATCACTATGCACCATGCGCATGCACCAAGCTCTGGCTCAGAGTGTACTATAATATTCTTATAACTCTATTGCTGTGAGAAAAAGTAACATTCTTTTGGCCAGGGGATAAATAAACATAATCCCCAAGAAGTTTCTGAGACTGATGGGAACACAGTCACTGCCCTAGAATTTGCCCAGACTGGTAGAGAAAATGTTTCCAAAGGTCTCAAGAAGTTCACTGTAAGGAGATATGACAGACCAAACTTCATATACAAAATGTAAGCATACACAGGTGACAGCATGTTAACATCCAGGCTAGCACATAAGCATGCACACATGCTGTTGGGTTAGAACAATTTGAATTGGAATTAGTGGTAGATGAATAATCATGTGAAGATTCTCTAGCGAATGAGTTTTAAAACCTGAAGGGTTTCCAATAGCCCAAGCTTTAAATAGTGGTTGTCACACTTATTAACTGAGAGATCTAAGTAAGTTACTTATATTCTCTAATCCTTGGTAACTGTAATAAATCAAAGTAATAAGGGATTCTTCCATCAAATTTATTATCTTACAGTTGAGTAGGTCAGAAAACTGATATGAATCTCACTGAGCTAAAATCAAGGCATCAACAGGGCTGCATTATTTTCTAGAGAGCATAAGGAAGAACAATACCCTTGCCTTTTCTCCTTCTAGAGATTGCCCACATTCCTTGGCTCATCTCCCTCGCTCTGCCATCTTCAAAGCTAGCAATGGTGGATCAAATCCTTCTCAGGCTGCCACTTCTCTGGGTCTCCACTTTTAAGGACACATGTGATTAGAATGAACCCACCCAGATGATTCAGGATAATCTCATCTCAAGGTCTTCAAAGTCAATCACATCTGCAAAATCCCTTCTGCGTGTTAACGTAACATATTCATGGGTTCCAGGTATTAGGACGTGGACATCTTTGAGGGGTACTATATTCTCTACCAAAAACACTTCATAATACCTTGGGCACAGAATGCATGATAAAGTGTTGTTGTTACATTATAAAGAATAAAGTATTTCAGGCCAAGATATTTTCGGTGGTGAAACAGACTGGCTGGTAGGGAGAGATAAGGATGGAAGCAGGGAAAATAGTTAGGAAACTACTGAAATTATCCAAGTAAGACATAATGGCAACTTGGAAAAAGGAGGTATTTTTGGAGGTGATGAAGAGTGATTACATTCCAGTTATAGTTTCAAAGATATTAGGATCTGAAGACTTATATGCAGAGTGTAAGAGACAGAAATCAAGGGTAGATTTCAAGACTCATATGCTCTAGAGTGGTCCAGTAATGGTGAGACCATCTGAGGATCTAAAGGGACCATAAGTAGAGAAGATGGACAGTCTATAGCAATTTGTGGGCACTCTATTTACTGAAGACTAGAGAGAGCAATTGTCGCCTCTTTTCAGATTGCATCATTGGCCAGATCCATCACCCACATACTCAAAGTCCTTAGTACAATATAAGGTCCTCAAAATTTAAACACAAGTGGGGAGAATCTCAAATTATTGTTGTTAGTTTCCTTCCAGTTAGTGGTCTGGGATTCAAAACATAAAATAGGTTAAATTATGAAAAAATAAATAGAAATGTATTTTCTGCACACCTAATTGTAGACTGAGATTTTTACCTATGACATTCTCCAAGTACTTGGTTCATGCCTCTAAGAGAACATTATCATTCATTATCAGTATTGGTAACTATCAGTTAACTGTGTGTTTCTAAACTAAACCAAGAGACCATGGACAGTAAGAACTGTGTAGTATCCCCCTTTTTTTTAATCTCCAGCAGTTAGCATGATGTTTGGAATATAGGATAGTCTTATGCAATATTTACTGGATGTATGTATAGATGAGTAAATTATTTTTTTTCCTAGTCATAAGAGACAGTCTGCTAAAAAGCACAGACTAATGAAACAGGACTGCCATAAATAGTAATAGATGCTAATGAGTTACTGAGTGGAATGTGATTTGCACTCACCAGAGGAGATTCCTTTTAGCAATTTAGTATAATATTTCATTTTTTAAAATACTCTTTAGGGTGACTGCTTAGGGGCATGGGATTTCTCTTTGCAGTAATAAAATTTTCTAAAAGACCATGATGATGCTTGTACAACTCAGTAAATTTACTATAAACTATTGAATTGTACATTTTAAATGGGTGAATTTTATGATATGTGAATTATGTCTTAAAATTATTTTTACAAAAAAACACTTCAATAAAAGGGCACAAGGACAAAAAAAAATTACATCAGCCTATAAAGCACATGACCACAATAAGTAATTGCGTAATGGAACAAACAGACAAAGACTGTATAAGGCAAAAGAAGCCTTCTGGGAACCACCATACCCCTGGAGACACAGTGAGTGACACCACCAGCAGGAATGGGCCTCTCAGCTCTGTGCCTGTCTCCATTCAGGCTGGAACAAGTCTCCTCATAAACTCGGTCCTCCCCCTGGAATCTGAAGTCTCCTCAACCTTCTGAGTCAACCTGAGAGGGACAAGCAGAACTGCTGTACAAACTCTGTAAGTAAAACCATTTTGTTCGATGAAAAGACTTGACTCTAGGTGAGCCAAACTTTCTTATCCACAGGAAGAATTTTCTCACAATGTTCAGAATTAGATAAGATAGTGAGATGGTGGGCTGAGGTGGACAGCAGAATTTATAGAATTATTTATTCTCAGGAAACCTGCAGAGAAAGGGCATTTTGTCTGCCCCATGTGGTTTGCATAGTTTGTGGTTTGTTAAGCAAATAGCTTAATCATTTATATATAAGTTATCATAGTTAGTGGTTTGGTGCTTGAGAAAACCAAAGAGGTTGTCAGGAGCTGAATAACACATTTCTAAGCCCAATTATTCTTACTAAAACTTTAAAAAAATACCAATTTTGAACACTTACTGCATGCAAGGCACTGTATTAGGTGCAGTATATAGTCTACCTTATAGATGAGGAAACTTGATCAAAGAAAGTTTACACTACTTATACATGAAACCATAGTTTTGGGGAGCATAGTGTGGGAATTTTTTTTTAAAAATTGGGTTTAAAATTCCAATTCTGACATTCACTAGCTGTGTGTGATTCTGAATATGTTTCATAACCTCTCTCATACTCGGTTACCAGAAAAGAGGAATCAAAGTGAATTTAGTAATACTTGCCAAATGATGTTGTAATAAGAATTAAAAGAATGTTTCTCAAATGCTTAGCTCTGTAACTTTCACAGAACAAATTCCAATAAATGGTAGCTGTTGTTATGAGTAATATTTTTTATTATTGCTACAAAAAGTCTCAAAACTAGTTGGTGTCTAAGCAAGGACCTGAACCTAGATCAGTCACATGTTATAGCGATGCCATTATCAATGGCTTGGACAATATTGATAATGCTATATGGTTGTTCAGGAGTTAAAGACATAGAAGCCATAGCTCATAATAGTTCAATGAAAGAAGAGCATCACTGTGATCTGGGAGGACAGGAAAATTAATTAGGAGACTATAGCTTATCTCTTACAAGAGAAAAGGAAGGTTGTACATGGATTGGAGAGGATGGATTGAACAGATTCCAGGGCGATAGCAGCACAGAGTAGTTTGGGGGAATTTTAGTACCTCCCCCTGATAAATCCATTAGTCCCCCTTTATTCTTTGATATGAACAGGTAAGTCTGTTCAATTAAGGAAAGCACAATGAAGTACAGCTTTAAGCACCCACTATGAACCACATTGCTATTACTCAGCCCTCAAATAGAAAACTCCGGATTCTCCAGTTTTTGACATTTTAGAAGTAAAATCAATAAGTATTTAACGAACATTGGTATGTAGGGGATGAGAGAGAGGGAGAAAAGTGTGTGTATGTGTGTATGTGAGGGCAGTAACTCTGATTAGATGATCTGTTAGTTTGATGTCATTTACAGACAAATGAGGCATAGGAGAGAGAGTCGGGTTTGGAATGAGGGAAGGAATGAGATCCATTTGGCTCATATTGTGATTGGGGTATCTGAGGGATTATGGATGGGAGTATGCCTCAAGGGTAGATAGTTCATTCATTTTTTTCCCACTGGCACTAAGCAGAGAGCTTTGACCTGTTCTCCAAACTGCTGCCCATTAGTTTTTCAAATTGCCTACTTGATCACCTCACTCTAGTTCCAGGATTCATGACTGCCTTCAAGTTTCAGCCCAGACATTTTGCCATGGCTTCAAAGATCCTGTTAACTTTTGAAATACAGAACTCAGGAGAATCTATAATTAGATTTCAGATTCGCATGTCATCTGAATATAAGTGCTATTTAAAGCTGTGGGAAAAACTAAGATATTCCAAAGAGAGTATACCAGAGAGAAGAAAAAAACAGGGGCTTCTTTCTATGAATCATGGATCACTGCATCAAAAACTAATGATATATTGTATGGTGACTAATATAACATAATGAAATAAAAGTAAAAAAAAAAAACAGGGGCTCCTTGAAAGAAAAGGACTCTTAAAAAACACAACTGAAAAGACAGAGCAAAAATACTGTTCAATAAAGAAATTAAATAAAAACACAGAATAACTACACTGAAGCTAATGAAGGAGAAAGTGCCTAAAGAAAAGGTGCCTAAAACTGTGAAAATTTGAGATGAGAGAGAGGAAAACAAATCTGAAGATAAACTTTTGGACTTGGTATTTAGAAAGTGTTTGGTGACATGAGTTGGAGAATTTCCTGAGAGTCATTAGAGAAAGAACCCAGATTATTACTGAAGGTGAAGGGATAATAAACACAGGCAGACTGTCCTTCAAATAATGTGTTTTGTCATTATAAAAGATAAGGCAGGAAATTGAGAGAGAAACAGGGTTTGTCTCTTATTTCCCATACTAACAAAGCACAGGGGCCAATTAAGAAAGATGGTCAATATATCTTAGTTGAATTGAATGTCATGTTGAAAACATCTATATAAATGTGTGGGAAGCTTTCATTAATGGTTTGGGGTATAACTTGAGAACTGAAGCTGCAGAAAGGGAGCCACTGGTACTACCTAAGATACTAAAGAAGGAAAGGAATTTTGTTAGGGTTAAGGGAGAAGAAATGAGAATGATTTGTTTAGTTATTCATAAAATATTTGGAAACGCCTAGCTCTTGATGCTCTGCAACTAAAATTGAAGTTCCCTCTCCTTTCCATGGAATGAAAGGTGTTCATGTCCTGGCCCGGCTGATTTCTCTTGCTCAGCTCCCACGTCACCCAGTATCATATTTAAGGCTCCAGCATTTTAATTTTGTTGTAGTTGTCCAACCAACCCTGTTATTATTTCATTTGGTTTCTGCTCATGTTTTTATCTATGTCAAGAACACCATTTTCCTGCTTTAAATCCTTGTAAACTCACATCCACCCATCAAAACATTACACAGTTCTAATTCATCTACTCAGTTAAGAGTTCTTGGAACTAATTCTTCTTGACACACACAGACACATTCATGTATACACACACTCAGAATCTGTCGCTCCGAACTATCCTGTCTTATCACTTAGAAATACCTCATCCAATGCACTCTACAGCTAGAGGTATTTGTCTCTGAATCCTCTTATATGCAGTGTGCCTGGCATGTAGTAGGTGTTCCCCAAACTGGTAATTTTTCATTTTCATAGGAGTCACTGGGCTCTTATTAAAGATACAGTTTTCAGCCTTAAAAAGATGAGGTGTTGACAACCTCTCTGGTTTTCTCAGGCACCAAACCACTGTCATTTTATTTGCTTCATATCCTTACTGCTGACACAATACCCAGTGAGCTCCCAGTTTGATACTGAAATGAACTAAGCATTGGTGATGGGTGATCAAGAGCTTAGATGGAGTTATTGGCTATGAAAACCAATAAGGAATCTTCTATGTCTGCACCCAGCATGGATGAGGAGAGGGTACAGGAAGACACAGTTGTAGAGCAATGGAAAGGAAGGAATTTGAGGGAGTTCTCTTCTGCCAGACTCAATTCAGATCAGTTCAGCCTACACATTATGTTTTTCTTCTGATCCCTCAACAAGAAAGGGAAGGGAAAAAACTGACAAGAATGAAAATGTGTAATGAATAAATTGTTTAAATTAATAAAATAATGTAAAGGGAGCCATGAAGAAATTAGGATGAAAGAGAAATTGTTCTAGTAACAATTTTAAAAAAAAGATCTCTTATGAAATTTCCTAGCACTCAATAACAAAAGTTACACCTCAATCTTTGCACGTCATAGCGACAAGCATCGTGAAAATCTTCATGACAGCTAGACATAAGTGACATGTATGGAGGCACTCTGCACCCCCAGAATTCTTTTTTGTCATTCACCACTGGACCCTAGATGTTGAAGTTATTTATAAACGGTGCTATTCTTTCTCCCTCACTTGATTTTAAACTCTTTAAGAGTTCATTCTGGCTCAACACTTTCACATATGCCACTCTAGTAGCCTTGGAATACTTCATTTCTATTTACACAAAACATAGCAATCTTTCAAGCACTGATTTTCCTAAGAAGACTTCTCCATACCCCAAGCCTTTTACACACAGTTGAACTGTGTGTGCAATTATGAACTTTTTCATAATTACTCTAGCTTCCATGGACTCCAGGAAGTTGTTAACCTCAAAAGTTGAGACCCAGGTTCCGGAAATTAATAGTAAATAAACAGGTCAAAGACTTGCGGAACATGAGAGGTGAGCCCCTTTTTTTAAATTATCATAAGTACTATTCATTTAATAAGTAGAGTTTTAGTTTGCCTTTCTGATCAATATGTATTTTTAAAAACTATAATTACTAAAAGTGTTTTCAGAAATCAATATATTTATGAAAAGTGCTAATAGAACTTGTTAAACATCAAATTTGTTAAACTTGTTAACTTTCAAAGTTTCATAATTAACTGAAATGCATGCCAGTTGAGCAAATCTGTATCCAATTCATTTCAGCATAATGTCAGTTGTATTCATGACACTCAATAAACAGGCACCAGAAGCACTGCCAAAAAGAAAATGCTCCCTTTCTTAATGAATGTTTCCTTTCTGTCAACTCTTATTCCTATTAGGAGGTTTGATCATACATTTCTAACAGTAATTTCATTGGTTCCCTGAGGACATTCTTATGACTCTAAACTGTAGAGTCTAAAGTTATAGTTTACTTATTGTGTCAATTCATGTAACTTAGCACTTCTTTTTCCTCTAATTTTTCATTGATTTCAATTAAATATTTCCCAATTTTTTTAAACTAAGATTTCTTTAGGGAATCCTTGAGGTACTTTATCTGAGTGAACTTGAGTGGTCTGGAAAACATTTAGGTTCCCCTGAGGAATAGTTACCTTACTGACTGAACCCTCTCCAGTCACAGCCCTAATGTCTGCTTTCCCAAGACTCCCATTTCAACTCATACATACCCATCTGAAGAGCCTGAAATTCTGTACTCAATGAAAAATGAAATGTAATGTTCACAGTAAAGGTATATCTTTCCCTCCAAGGCAAAACAGTAAAATTCTATGAAATATCTCCTGAGAAGTATGTCTTAACAAAATGGAGAACAACCAATCTTCAGGCAGATGAAGAGAGAACTCTATCTGTATAAGGCAGCATGCTATATCATATGGGGGGGGTTGGGGGGGGACAGAGGCCTCTAAGGTGGTAGGTCTGTGTTCTAACTCCACCTCCCAAATGAGACACCAGATGCTACACTGCAGGTGTCACTTTCAAGGTTAGATACCATAGACAATCTGCACATGACTGCACTGGTGCCTAAGCCATCTGTTAGCGTGTCATATGTGTTTTTTATCATAAGTATCTCTCTCAATATTTTCTGGCTTCCCAAATTGTCTATAAGCTTCTCTGCTTTCTACACTTGAGGCCGATATAGTATTGCTGCTCCACAGTCCCAGTCTACTTTTCTCCGATGCCAACTATATGGAAAAACTAACCTGCTACCTCTTTATCACAATTTGAAAATCCAGAAAAGGTGAAATATAATTGACCAATCTTGACTAAAGTGACTTCCCTTCGTCCAGTCATCTCTGGCTGGAGAAATGGAAGGAAAGGTCACACAGTATGAACATAGCTACCAGCAAAGGGTCCCAGGAAAGAAAAATGATGGGCTGAGGTACATATAAGAAAAAGAATGGTACCCTACTACAGCAGTTGAAATCTTAATGATTCCTTTATCAATTTCAATGAGAAATTCATTTTTACATAGTATATAAATATTTGTCTTCGGTTAGTTTTGGTTGAATAAAATTATTTGTAATTGGATTAATACCAAAAAATGCAGTTTTGTTGTTGTTCCAGAGTTTCATCTTGGAACTCTGTATTTTTAATCCAGCATTTCAAACTTCTGGAATACCACATCTACTTCCATCATTTTCCTGCTAACTGGTGTTCCTGGGCTGGAAGCCTTCCACACCTGGATCTCCATTCCCTTCTGCTTTCTCTACATAACCACCCTCTCGGGAAACAGCCTGATCCTCTTTGCCATTGTCACCCAGCCCAGCCTCCATGAACCCATGTATTATTTCCTCTCCATGCTGTCCACCACTGACCTCGGCCTGTCCATATCCATCCCGGTCACCATGTTGGGTATATTCTGGTTCGACGTCAGGGAGATCAGCTTTAATGCCTGCTTGTCACAGATGTTCTTTATTAAACTCTTCACTGTCATGGAATCCTCAGTGCTGTTGGCCATGGCCTTTGGTCGTTTTGTGGCCATCTCTAATCCACTCAGGTATGCCACCATTTTAACTGATTCCAGAATAGCTCAAATTGGAGTGGCAATTGTCATCAGGGGGACACTAAGGCTGACACCAATGGTTGCACTTCTTAAAAGACTGTCCTTCTGCCACAGCCACGTGCTCCACCACTCCTACTGCTTCCACCCTGATGTAATGAAGCTCTCGTGCACAGAAACCAGGATCAGCAATGCAGTTGGGTTGACTGCCATGATCTCTACTGTTGGTGTGGACTCAATCCTCATCCTCCTTTTTTACATTTTGATTATTAAGACTGTCCTCAGCATTGCATCCCCAGAAGAGAAGAAGAAAGTCTTCAGCACATGTATCTCCCATATTGGGGCTGTTGCTATTTTCTGCCTTCCATTGATCAGTCTGTCCTTTGTTCACAGATTTGGGAAACAAGCCCCAGCCTATGTTCATACAATGATTGCTAACACGTACCTCCTGATCTCTCCTGTAATGAACCCCAATATCTACAGTGTGAAGACCAAACAGATACGCAGAGCTGTGATAAAAATTCTCCATTCCAAAGATACATAGAATCACAGAATTCTAGAGATGGCCTACATTGTCAATTTAAAACAAAACTGGTGATCATGAAACAAAAATTTAAAATTAAAGTTGGCATATATTTAGAACATCAGCTAGCTTGACTTTTTATTTTACAGCTGAGGAGACAGACACATAAAAATAGAAGGAATGAACAGTGTAAAGCCCTAAATCTATCATTTCTCCCACCCATCACTGTTCATTCTGAACTGTTGTTTATCCTGCCAACAAACTGTATCTTCTGACTTTGTCCACTTTAGAGCAGTTGGAATGACACATTATGAGAAAGCTGCTCCTTTAGGAGAAATAGGTAGTATTTTTCTAACGCAACAATAATTTTTACTAACATTTATTATTTCCTTTGACTAGTCACAGTTCTTAGTGTTTTTTCCATTTACTAACACATATCTAAAACAACATTATAAGGTAGTTACTTCTCTGAGCAATGAGAAAGTTGAGGCACAAAAATGTTAAGTTACTTGCTTAAACAGCTCATAAACAACAGAACCATATTTCACATGCATGCAAACTGATTCCAGGGTCCCCCAACTCTCAACTTTAGCTATACTTCTACCGATAATATAAACTAAATATAAGTATACATGTATATAATTTGTATATATACATATATATGAGTCTATGTAATTTGTACTAGGGGACATAAAGAAGCAAAACAAATAAACAAAAAACCCCACAACTCTATCCTCTAGAAATTTTCAACCAAATTACGGAGAAAAAGCCCAAAACATAATTTTCAAACCTGAAAAATACAAATGTATTTCTACCTGATATTCTTTCCAAACTAAACATATTCCAGAATTTCTCTCTGCCTTCCATCAACCTTCTGCCCCAGCAGAAACTCAAAAATGACTAAGAATTGCAAATGAATTTCGCTTTGTGTCATTTACTTGGAAATGTTTAATTTGTGGCATATGCTTCATATAATGGCTTAATTCAGGAAGTTAATTATTATTTCCAACCTGGGGATGTCCATTAATTCTCAAATATTTAAAGCACATATTTCAATGACACATTGGTATCACTCAGTAAAGATAGGCCCTATAGGTGGCAGCAGATCCAGCAAGGAAGGATTAGTCAGTCATATCTACAGGGAATTTGTTAAGTGACAACAGTACTATTTAATAACCAGGATGGTGTCAAAATTCTCAGTATGTTTGACAATAACATTTTCAGGCTCCATTATTGTTGGTCTTCATTTCCCTGATCTTTGTATGTTGGAATGTTCTAGGATTTTGTTCTCAGACCTGTTTTTTCTTCATTATATTCCCATTTTTGGTTATCTCATCTAGCATCATGGCTTTGAATCCCACCTACATGCTGGCAAATCCCAAATTAATATTTATAGTCCAGACTCATATCCTGTGTATCAGTACTCCTACTTGAATGTTTAATAGTCATCTCAGACTCATCATGTCCAAAAACATATCCTAATATTCACATCAATCATGTCTTTCCTAACTCAGAAACTCTATTTTTCATGTTGCTGAGATAGAATTCTTGGAGTTACTACTGATACCTGTCTGTCTCTCCCACTCCACATCCAACCTATCAGCAAATGCTGATGACTCTTTTTCAGATATTCCAGATATTAATACCTGGAATCTAGCTACTTTCTACCACCTCTACTGCTGCCACCATGTGCCAAGCCATCATCATCTTGGACCTGAAATATAACAGTCTCCTAGTAGATCTTCCTTCATCCACTTTTGCTTTACTTTCCCCATGGTAGTTAGAATGATTATTTTAATACATAAAACAGATCATGCCACTTCCGTTCAACATGTCCAGTGGCCCCCTGTCTTACCCAAGGAAAATTCTATTCATTATAGTCATTATAATATCTCATTAGGATCTATATGATTTAACTCCCCTCTACCATCCCAACTTCATCTCCTACTACTCTCCCCTTTATTCATTCTACTACACCTGCACCACTTCCAAATATTTCCTTAAACTCACCATACCATGCTTCAACATCAAACTTCACACTTTGTTTTTGTTTTTTAAGATTTTATTTATTTATTTGACAGAGAGAGAGAGACAGCAAGAGAGGGAACACAAGCAGGGGGAGTGGGAGAGGGAGAAGCAGGCTTCCCGCGGAGCAGAGAGCCCAATGCAGGACTCGATCCCAGGACTCTTGGATCATGACCTGAGCCAAAGGCAGACACTTAAAGACTGAGCCATCCAGGCACCCCAAACTTCACACTTTCTGTCCTCCCTACTTGGAATATTCTTCAGACACCCTCGTGACTTACTGCCTCACCTCATGCAGGTCTCTGCCTAAGTGTTACCTTCCTACAGGGCCCCTGACACTAAAAATAACACCACCAACTCTCCCTCAATTCCTGTCTGCATTCACTCTCTTCCTTAGCTATCTTATTTTTAATACCTGGCACTCCCTACACCCACCAAAATATTAAATACCTATTTATTTCTTCTCTAGTTTCCCCATTACCAGGTAAGATCTTTGAGAATAAGAATTTTGTTTCATTCATGCTGCCTTCCAGACCCCAAACCAGGGTCTGCCACATAATAAAATAATAGTAACCCTGAATGAACTGGCTCTATTTACCTCTCAAGGCTCATTGCTTGCCCTCTGTTCAGTGCTCCAGGCACAACAAACCACTTGCATTTCTTAGTTGTGATTGCTCTGGATCACTCATAAGCCTTTGCACAAGCTGTTACCTCCCTCTATAGCACCCTCACTATTTCCCTTCTCCTGACTTAGAATAGAAATGACTTTCTCTTGGAGACATTTCCTGATTTCTCAAGCCTGTCTGGTGTCCTTTCCAGGTGCTTCTGCAGTACCTTGTGCTTCTTTCTCAGGACATCCCTTTTCAGACTCTCCTATAACTGTTTCCTCACCACAGACTCTGTGACCACTTCCCAAGACCAGGGACTACGACTCACTCATTCACTGTTGGAAAGAAGTGAAAAAGTTCAGATGATGTAGATTTATAGGCTGGATATTTGTTTGTTTGTGGGGGGAAAGAAAGAAACTTCGAGAAGAATGATGGCGTACACAGAGTTCTAAAAATCAGAATGAGAAGGAACTTCAGTCTAAAAAACCAGACAGCCAAGATGTTCATACTACTTCTACAGATGTTTCTCTCCTACCTCACCACCCCCTACACACAATAACCTATGGATGGCCCTACTATTCAACAATCCTGAAAACTTATAAGCTTTTCTCACTAGGGAGTGGGTAATTTGGACAATTTGGGAATGGGTGATTTGCAGAGCAAATGTCACCTCTGCCCAAAGTGGACAAGCTCACAATGAACTGGAGACTTTCCTGAAAGCCAGGGCAATAGTAGACACATGGCTGCTGTTGTAGCTGCCTGAATTCAAGTTGAAATCTTTAACTGTCCTGTAAAAAGTCCTATAAAGCCCTATATGACCCAATTCCCTATTATCTATCTCTATCTATCTCTCTATTATTCTTCTCTTTGTTCTCTCTGCTCAGGCACACTGGCCTCGTTATTCTAAACCCCCAGATATACTCCCTTCTCAGAAGCTTTGCAATTTCTGTTCTTTCTCCTTTGGATGGTCTTCCTCAGAGATCTCATGGATATATTGCTTACTCCCTCCAGAATTCTCCTCAAATGACTCCATTATGTGAGGCATTCCCTGCCAACTTCATTTAAAATTTCAACTGCCCATCCCAATATTTACCTGTTCTCTTCTTCCCTTTATTTTTTCTCCTTAGGTAGTCATAAGGAGAAACTATTTAGTTTCTCATATTAACCATGGACTGTGTGTCCCTCTCATCAGGATGTATAATCCATAACGGTGGGCTTAAAAAAATAATTGCATATCTTGTTACATTGCAGACCCCTGATAAATATTTGTTAAATGCAAGTGAATAAAGAATCAGAATACCTAGTTCTCTGACCAATATTATCACTAATAACCCTGCGACCAAGGCAAAGAGCCTTCATCTCATCCATTCCCTATCTGTAACACAGGTGCAAGAGAGTGGCTTCCCTACCTCAAGGTCTATTTCATCAACTGAAAGAAAAGCTGGGAATGAAAAACTGAAGTGCATGCCCTTATTCTGAGTTATGGGAATTACTGGTTTTTTGTACCCATTTTGGTTTTTAAAGAGGATGTGAACTCTGAGAGCCCAGGGACATAACTATACATCCATGTTGCCTGTCATGTCTAGCAAAGTGGCTAATGAGGAAAAGCTCTAACCACTGCTGCTACCTGGGGGAGTCTGAGTTATTTGGAAGAATGGGGACAGATTGTCAAGAGCCCTGGATGTGTAAGTGTGGGAGTGACGGCAGAGGCAGTGGCAGTGCCCCCTTTGTGATCACGCCCCACAACACACACACACCAGACAGAAACAGTGGGAAGCCCATGGAAGTGACATACAAGTGAACATGGAGATACTGTCCCCTGCCTGCCAAGCCCCAGGGGCCTCAGTCTGTACTCCCACAGCCTGTTCCCATGGGCCTCCTAGGCAGCATTATAAATAGGCCTGTGCTTGAAAGGGTGAGCCAGCTCCAGCTGCTCTCTCCTAGAATTGCGTGGTTTTCAAGTGAGTGCACCCTCACTTGGGAGTGGGAAGGCCAAACTCCTACCATCCTAAGAGACCCTGAGGACTCCACAACTGTCTCATGGCAGAAGGGGGAAACCCAAATGCACCTTCACAGGCTGAGAAGAAATGTCCCAGAGCACTAGCAGACAGTCCGGAAAGGCAAGTAAGAATGAACGCAAAAGCCACATTCAGACCCAAAGAGAAGCTAAAATTGGTTCTAGCCAAAGGTCACTTTAGGCAGAAGGCCAGGCAACATGGGAGAGAGATATGAGGTCTTCTGGGATAGGTAACTGGGGAGACAAGATAATGGCCCAAAGTCTTAGACTGCTACTAGAAAAACAGAAAAGATGCACTGCAGAAAGAGGAGTCAGGAAAGGATCCAACTCTGTGGCCAACAAAGACCTTTATATCTGTGGGTACTCACACTGTAGCATGGGCAAGAGGCTTAGGGAAAGGGGAAATACATTACTGTGCTCTCCCTGCAACCCCTCCACGCCTTTTCCTTCATCCTGGGCCCCATTTCTCTTGGACACAGAGGTCCAGTGAGCTGGCCTCCCTCCAGGGAAGTTTCCTTAGCATTACCCATACTTTTCAGCCTGACTTGTTTAGATTTCTGAATCTCTCTCCCTAAGCTACCCATGATAGATACATAGATGGTTGGATGGATACAAGACATAAGCTATCTTTTATCTCACTGAAGGATGCAATTATATGCCTATTAAAAGGGCTTCTCATTCTCTGATAGCAGCTTGTGGCCAAATTTGGGATCTCACATTTGTCAGGAGAGTAGCTATTATGTCTTTGCATAAGATCTGAGGATAGGGAGAAGAGCAAATAGTGGTCAGAGGTGTGAATTCTGTGACCTTTGAATCTTGGATTTGTTCTTCCTTGCTTATTCATTATGGGGATAATCCAAGTCAAATCTTTTAGTTCCTATTTTATCACACTATATTTTAAGACTGCTGGTCTCCAAACCCTCTCCCCTAAAGCCAAATGAAAGAGAATCTCCCAGTTGCAGTATGGACCCAGATTAGGAGTGAAGAAGAATCCTGGGGAGATGAAGAGTTTTACATAACTACCACTGATGAAGACACCTGCAGAGTTAATTCCCAAGTTTCAGAGGTCCTTCTTCTTAAAGCCAAGCCTTTAGCTCTTTAGAAACAATTAGCTCTAAAGACCAGGGTACCTAAGGAGCCTAGCAGAGAAAGTGTTTGATGAGGTCAGATCCTAGTGTTTGGGCAGGGCAGGGGCAGAGCAATGCTGGGCTTCCAAAAACAAAAAGCTTTCCCTAACATGAATGGCTCGTTGGCAGAGGTTCCAGGAAAGACAAAGCTCTAGGAGTATCAAGACTCGACCCAAGTTCTCCTTGGGGTAAGGCGTGTGGCCTGGAGGCAGCTTTCAGGTGTGGAGAAACACATCAGCCAGGAGCAAAGAGAAAAGCCTTCACAAGGGACCATGCCAGGCAGCTAGGATCTGCTGGAGGCCACACACCCTGCCAGCACCTTCATCTCCAGATAAGTCACTGGAGGGAGCTACTCCTTTTCATTTGATGACCTCCAAAGGAGTTTCTTTTTTTTATTTAACAGATTGACTTGTGGTCTTTTTTTCTTAGGTTTTTTCCTCATCTTTTAAAAATTGCCATTTTTGTGTTTCTTTTTCCCCTTGCTGACCTTAGACCTGGGGACCCAGAATCCTGAAAATTTGAAGGAAAAAAAAAATTCCCTATCCCCACTGGCTTCATATACCCATTATTCTCTTCTCTGCCTAATTCCTACTCATGTTTGAAGACGGAACAAAAGGATTATCTTTGCCAGGAAGGTTCCTCTGATCGTGCCTCTCCCCCTCTCATGCATTAAATGCACACCTTAAGCTAACACTTATTCCAAAACTCTAATAACTGGGTTACTTGTCTATCTTCCACCATAGGTAGGGCATCTGAAGGGCAAAAGATGTGTCTTTCATCTCCGTATCATGAGCATCTAGCAAATAGCCTTGTACATAGTAGGTCATATAAGTAGATGCTTATAAAATGAATGAATAATTGAAGGAAAGAAAAGAAAAGAGAACATACCTGGAAAGGGTTCTCAATAGAGTATCTGTTAACACCTATCTGAGAAAAGGACCATCCAATATCCAGGTAATGAAGGTGTGGGCCAGGAGTCCAAAGAAATTTGGAAAGGATACATTTTGGGATAAGCATTGTTCTCCCCAGGTTCCATTTTTAAAATGTAAATGGGAGGTGCCTGAGTGGCTCGGTCAGTTGGGCATTCCAGTCTTTGTTTCAGCTCAGGTAATGATCTTGGGGTTCTGGGATCAAACCCCATGTTGGGCTCCACACTCAGCACTGAGTCTGCTTATCCCTTTCCCTCTGCTCCTCCCTCCACTTGTGCTTGCTCTCTCTCTCAAATAAAGTAAATAAATAAATCTAAAAAAAAATGTTTAATGTAAATGGACCTTGAGAGGAGCAATTGATAAATGAGTTTGAGCTATCCTTTTTCCCTTTGGAAGAGGGCTTCAGAGCTTATGAAAGAGCCTAAAGGGCTTGGAAGAGTGAGAGGGGAGAGTAGGAGAGGGAGAGCTAAGGTGCATACAGTTCCCAGGTTTCCAGGGTTGGCCTCTCTGATTGTGCTCCATGTCCTAGCAGGCTAGCAGGCTGCCAGGGTGACCTCACCCTCTCCAGCACCCCCTTCTTGATGCCAGCTATGAGCTCCTGCAACTTCACACATACCACCTTTGTACTTATTGGTATCCCAGGATTAGAAGAAGCCCATTTTTGGATCGGCTTCCCCCTGCTTTCAATGTATGCCGTGGCAGTGTTTGGAAACTGCATCGTGGTCTTCGTCGTAAGGACAGAGCGCAGCCTACATGCTCCCATGTACCTCTTTCTCTGCATGCTGGCAGCCATTGACCTGGCCTTGTCCACATCCACCATGCCCAAGATCCTTGCCCTCTTCTGGTTTGATTCCCGGGAGATTACTTTTGATGCCTGCATTACCCAGATGTTTTTTATTCATGCTCTCTCAGCTATTGAGTCCACTATCCTGCTGGCCATGGCCTTTGACCGTTATATAGCCATCTGCCACCCACTGCGCCATGCAGCAGTGCTCAACAATACAGTAACAGCCCAGATTGGCATGGTGGCTGTGGTCCGTGGATCCCTCTTCTTTATCCCACTGCCTCTGCTCATCAAGCGGCTGGCCTTCTGCCACTCCAATGTGCTCTCACACTCCTACTGTGTGCACCAGGATATGATGAAGCTGGCCTATGCAGACACGTTGCCCAATGTGATCTATGGTCTTACTGCCATTCTGTTGGTTATGGGCGTGGATGTCCTCTTCATCTCCTTGTCCTATTTTCTGATTATACGAACAGTTCTACAACTACCTTCCAAGTCAGAGCGGGCCAAGGCTTTTGGAACCTGTGTGTCACACATCGGTGTGGTGTTAGCCTTCTATGTTCCTCTCATTGGCCTCTCAGTGGTTCACCGTTTTGGAAACAGCCTTGATCCCATTGTGCATGTTCTCATGGGTGATGTTTATCTACTTCTGCCTCCTGTGATCAATCCCATCATCTACGGTGCCAAGACCAAACAGATCAGAACTCGGGTGCTAGCTATGTTCAAGATCAGCTATGACAAGGACCCTCAGGCTGTGGGGAACAGGTGATCCTTACCACTCCACTTTCCCTTATCTTTAATGGCTTGACATAAGGATTTCCTAATGCTAGCTTAATTCTAGTTGCCTATAAGCGTATCGATGATATTCTCAGCTGTGGCCTCTGAATTCTGCCTCTGCTTGGGGTGAAAGTTTGGAGGCTACCATGATTTCCTTCCATAGGTCAAAATGTTATTGATATTATTATTGTACCAAAAGTTTAAATTAGAAAATCCACTAATGTCCCAATATGTAGTAAAAAAACATAAAGAAGAGTGACAAAAAAATACAACTGGCTTTTTAACAAGGAAAAAATTATTCTACCTGACTAGTAATCTGAGAAATCATATATTAAAATAATAATTAGGCAGCATTTTTGTCTATTAAATTAGCAGTTTTTATTAATGAAAATTCACAATGTTGAAATATAAATTCATGACCATCAAAGGTGATGGTGTAATTGGCATATGTAGCAAGAACTTTTTAAAGGTTCTATGCTTTAATGCTATATTCTCACTTTTGGAAATTTATCCTAACAAAATATCCCTAAGTGCAGAAAGCAGGTTTTTCATAAAATATATTGGTTACACAATTATTTAGAGAAATCATATTAAAAATACTAGGATATAATATATAAAAGTAAGGAATAGTAAACTCAAGTATGGTCCATTAATTTAATGGAATATTATGTGGAATAATCTATATAAAAGGAATATTGTGTGACTTTTAAAGAATCTGCTATAAAATGAAACATGCATATAATGTTAAAAAATAAACAATAAGGACACATGATTGAAACTAATTTGAAAAGCACCTCTGCCTTGAAGGAAATGTGCTCAAATTAATAGTGATTCATTTTTGTTTTTACTTTCTAAATTTCTTTATTATGGAGATCTTGTTTAGCTGATGTGCAACTTTCAAAATGAAGAAAATGAAACTGACAATTTACATAAAATAAAGCTTGTCACAGACCTCACTGTTGGTTTACTATACATTATCTGGGAATTTATCTAAGCCCTACACAATAATGCCAATGAACATGTCTTGAGTGCTTATCATGTTCTAGGCCCTATGCTAAGTGCTTTAGTGGTTTTATCTGATTTTTAAAACAACTTTTTAGAGTAGGTACCATTTTTGCCCCCCATTACAAGTGAGAGAAATGAGATTTTCATTAACAAGATAACGAAGCCATACAGTTTGTGGGTGCTGTGCCAAGATTTGAAATTGAATTTGATAACCAAATACAGTAAGTTAATTCCCATGTTATATTGCTTCCTGTTTAACATCTGCCATTTATTTCCCCAGCTTGTGCAAATCCTGTTTTTTCTCTGCTGTGTGCCTTATTAAGATGAATGTATTTGTGTTGAGACATAACCCTGCCTTCATGAGCAACAAATCCAGAATACTACTCAGGTTTTATAGCCACTTTTCATGTTCCACAGCCTGCTTCTTCCCAGATTAAGGAAGAATATTTTTGTCTATTTATCTCTTATATATTCTCAATAATATTTCCCTTTTTTAAGTATATTCTGTACCTGTCAAACATTTTGAATGTCTGGGTTTTAACTTAGGTATAAGATATAATAAAATTCTATTTTAAATTTTGCTAAGTGTAATGTCTACTGCTTTTATACTTCTAGAATCCTATAAACTCAGATTTGAAGATACAGGAGGTTCCCTAGTCTACTTTCCCACCCCAGGTACTGTTTGCACAACTGTAAAGATGCTGATTGCATCAAGGTGGGATATTTCCATTGTATAGTTGAAATCAGATTTCATGAGAAGCTGAAATCTGACTATAATCATTCGTTCCCTTAATGGCTTCACTGAACAAATCTTGGGTGGGGGACTTGGGTGGATAAACCATGAGGGAGACTCCAATCTGTGGGCTCTTTCTTAGGAGAAGGAAACCACAGACACTTAACCTCTCTCCTGGAGAAGGGCCTTCCTAGTATATGTATCTGTAAGCATCCAATTGTGATTCCCTGCTCAAAGGTAGTAAAGTGGCCTCCAAAGTCATGCAGCTAATCAACGCAGATAGAATAGGCTGAATGAAAGAGAGAGGATGGAGGAAATGGGTGACTTCCCTAAAGAAACAAAGAGATACCCATGCTCTATAAAAGTAGAGATTCAGGTATCAGGACTTACCCCAAATAATTTTTATTTTTTTATTAGATTGAACCTCAGTAAGTCTCTCCCTATAACCTCCATCCTCTTCTATCTTCCTGTGCATTACTCAACCTTAAATCGTACCCTCCTGCCTACCCCCATATGCCTAAGAGCATGGCCAGATCGACAATTTAATAAAGCATGTATGTTTTGCTTTTAAAACTCTCACAGTATCCCAGTGCAATCCAACTTATTCATATTCTATTGCCATCTCCCCCACCCTTCCCTTTGCCCTAAGATTTTCATTTTTTTCTTTTAAACACTGCTTTCATTTTTTTAAGTTTTTATTTAAATTCCAGTTAGTTAACATACAGTGTAATATCGGTTTCAGGCGTACAATATAGTGATTCAGCACTTCCATACAACACCCAGTGCTCACCACAAGTGCCCTCCTTAGTCCGCATCACCTGTTTCACTCATCCCCCCCATCCACCTCCCCTCTGGTAACCATCAGTTTGTTCTCTATAGTTAAGAGTCTGTTTCTTGGCTTGTCTCTCCCTCTTCCTTTGCTCATTTTTTTGTTTCTTAAATTCCACATATGAGTGAAATCATACGGTATTTGTCTTTCTCTGACTGACTTATGCTAAGCGAAATAAGATTTTCATTTTTTAAAAATAGTTCAGGGACACCTAGGTGGCTAGAAAGGTGAAGCATCCGACTCTTGGTTTCAGCTCACGTCATGATCTCGGGGTCCTGGGATCAAGCCCAGCATACAGTCTACTTGTCCCTCTCCCGCCCCCTCTGTTTCTCCTCTCTCTCTCTTTCTCTCATAAATAAAATATTTTTTAAAAAGTAATTCAAAGACTTGTTTGCCAATATTCATAGCAACACTATATTCACAATAGCCAAAAAAGTGGAAATGACCCAAGTGCTCATCGACAGAGAAATAGATAAACAAAAGATGCTATATATATACAATAGAATATTACTGTATGACATTAAAAGGAATAAAATTTAGATACATTTGACAATATAGATAAACCCTGAGAATATTATGCTAAGTGAAACAAGTTACACACAAAAGGACAAATATTGTGTGATTCCATTTATATGAAATATGTAGGACAGGCAAATTCATAGAGATAGAAAGTAGGAGAGAGGTTACCAGGGGCTGGGGTGGGGGAGATTGAGGTATTTTTAATGAGTACATAGTTTCAATTTGGACTGACCAGAAAGTTCTAGACATGGATAGTGGTGATGGTTGCACAACACTGTACAACTAATTTAATGCTACTAAATTGCACATTTAAAAAATTCTTAAAATGGTAAATTTCATGTTATATTTATTTTACCACAATAAATAATCATGAAAGAAAAAAGGTAAAATTTTCATTATCATTATCAATTTTTTATCAAGAACATGTTGAGGAGCGGCTGGGTGGCTCAGTCAATTAAGCATCCGACTCTTGGTTTTGGCTCAAGTCATGATCTCAGGGCTGTGAGATAACAGCCCCATGTTGGGCTCAGCACTCAGCACAGAGTCTGCTTAAGATTCTTCCCCCTTCCTTCTCCCTCCCCCTCTGCTCCTCTCCCAGCTCAAACTCTAAATAAATAAATAAATAAATAAACTTAAAAAAAAAAAAGAATATGTTGAAACGATTATATTTTGGATACATTGAGTAAAGAAAATACCCTTTTATAAAAGTACCCAAAGAGGATGATATTTAATCTCCTGTATTAAGGGAAAGAAAGAGCGCTAGGATGGGATTTATGAGCTCTGAGCTATAGTTCCTATTCTACCTCTAGGTGGGTGACCTTGTCTAATAAACATAAATCTCTCTGAATTAACTCTATAAAACATGGTGATTAAATTAGATAATCTCTAAATCCCATCCTATTTTGAATATTATGTGCTCTGAACACTGAGAAGCCTTGAATAATTCCAAAGGGCCTGCAAGGCTGGAACCCTGCAGGGATTCCTGGAAACAGCCTTCTGCCTCACATATGAAAGCCAAGTCCCTTCCCTGAGGCCACACCTGCTATCTGCCCAAACAGTATTTATCAACTTGATCTCCTACCCCTGATTCTGCCATTAAGGCTCTTCCAAAACTCAAAACTGCTCTCAAAGATGGGGATTTTCCACCCCAGAAAATATTCACAAACTCTCTAAAAGGAAGCTCAATCCAATAGAAAGAGCAAACAGTTCTGACTCATCAAGCCAATTTACCCTCTGTGAGGCTTGTTTTCCTCCTCTGTTTATTAGGGATGATAACCGTATCTACCCCTCAGGGTTTTATGAGAATTATGTGCAACAATCCACACATAATGCTTAGCACAGAATTTAGTACATAGTACGAACTCAATAAATACTCATTATTACCATGGAGGGGGTGGCAGGTGACAATCCCTGCCTCACAGTGATATTGAGGGGATAGAGATGTGAATTTCTGCCTGTGGCAAGCAAGCCACAGATTCTTCTTAAACACTCACCTAGTTAGTCATTAGCCTGGAAGCTTGGAGTTTAAGAACTGGGTCTCTCTCTCTCACCTATACCAGGACTAAGTGTAGTGAATGGGGGAAGTAAGATCCAACTGGGATTCAAATGGGATTGAAATGATTTATCTTATGCACAAAAGGAGGAAAAACAACAGAAGGCCATAGTCCCAGGAAAATGTGATTGCTTTCTAGAAGGTGGCAAACTAAAGGGGGTGTTCTGGCCATTGCTTATTCCTTGTTCACATGGACCACAGTCCTGGGAAAGTGTTTGCCTTTTGATTCCCATTGATCTAGAAGGGCTTCCAGGAAGAGGCCCTCTGGAAACTTGGGGAGGTGAGTCAGTTCATAGAGGTGGTCCCAGGCAGCCCCTGCCGTGAGAGGCCTCTGGGTCTTAAGCAAGTACTCACTGAAGTGAGAGTATCTTTCCCAGTGAACAAGGATCTCCAGGGACTGAAGATCATAAAAACACTGCCCTGTTCCCAGTCATGTTTATGTTGGCCTGGTCAGTGGAGGGCACTAGTTTAGGTAGCCAATTCCCCTTGAGAGCCAGAGTCTGAGGTTGCCCGATAAGCAGGACAGCTCCCATCCCCAGCAATTTCATTTAGCCCCCATCTCTGAGCAGCAAACCATTTACTCCAGATTAGACTGACAAGAAATAAGGACAGAACATAAATTTGTTTTTTTCTGGGGCCAGACATTTCCCCAAGCTTTTTTTGTTATTAGAAGAAAAGATTTACCATCAATACGTATTTACAAGAGATTACCAGCATCACATATCTGAGATTCTTTCCGAAGATGATCACCACCAATTCTCCCAGCCCATGTGAAAATTCATGCCCAATGTCCATTTTTTATATCATTCAAAGTTAAATATTCAAGAATCAGTTATAATGTTCTGGGCCCTATAAAAGGTGAAAGGAACACAAAAATAAACAACAGTGGATATTACAGTGGGTGTCAGATATTATCCAAAAACAAGAGATAACAAGTGTTGACAAAGATGTGGAGAAAAGGGAACACTTGTACATTTTTGGTGGGAATGTCAATTAGTACAGTCACTATGAAAAACAGAATGAAAATAATTAAAAATAGGACTGCCATATATGATTCAGCAGTTCCACTTCTGTCTGGATATATATCCAAAGGAAATGACATCATTATCTCAATGAAATACCTGTACTCCCATATTCACTGCAGTATCGTTCCCTATAGCTAAGATATGGAAACAAGAAAAGGCATGGAATATTCAACCTTAAAAAAGAAGGAAATCCTGCCATTCGCAACAAGATGAAGGAATCTAAAGGTCATGATGCTACATGAAATATGAGAGAAGAGAAAGATAAATACTACATAGTACCACTTATATGTGTGATCAAGAAGAAAACAAGTCAAATTCATAGAAACAGAAAGCAGAATGGTTGTTGCCAGAGGCTGTGGATGGGGAAATAGGGAAGTTGGTAAAAGAATATAGACTTTCAGTTATATAAGAAGAATAAATGTTGAGGATCTAAGTATAACCTGGTGGATACAGTTGATAATACTATATTAGATAATTAAAATTTGCTGAGAGAGTAGAACTTAAATGTTCTCAGAAAGAAAGAAAAGGAAGGAAGGAAGGAAGGAAGAAAAAAAGAAAGAAAAGAAAGAAAGAAAAAGAAAGAAAGAAAGAAACAAAGAAACAAAGAAAGAAAGAAAGAGAAAGAAAGAAAGAAAGAAAGAAAGAAAGAAAGAAAGAAAGAAAGAAAGAAAGAAAGAGTAAATATGTAAGGTGATGGATGTGTTAATTAACTCAATGGTGGGAATCCTTTTACAGTGTATACAGATCATCACACTGTAGCCTTTAAATATATTACAAATTAATTTGTTAATTGTACCTCAATACATATATAAACTAACTCAAAATTGACCACTGACTTGAATGTAAAAAAAAAAAAATGTAAGCATAAATCTAAAACTTTTGGAAAAACTTAGGAGAAAATCTTCAGGATAGAGGGCAAAGTGTTCT